GAAAACCTCTAACATTGGTCGCATTTTTGGACATATGCGTGTGCGTCCCTTTGCATCCGCGGCCACCAATATCCTTGATACGATGTGCCATGAATCGCCCCCCAGAATGTCCCCCGCATATTCCTTCGTGTACCTCATAGAGGAGGTCTTCCACCTGATCCTCCTGGACGCATTGTAGGTAAGGTCTTGAGAAAGACCTTCAATACAGCTTCTGATCCGGAGAGACCCAAAACCTCGGTGCTTTAAGTTTTATCTTCATGGCTTCCTTTGAACACTTCGGGAGGTCTCCTGTTATTAGGTACCTGAGAAAAGGATCAATCCAACTAGGCAGTTTGTGTGTGTCCTGGACGGCCATTGTCTCGGGGGCTTGGTCTATGCAGGAGGTGGAAAGATATTCTATGGTGATCCTGCGCGACTGAGAGGACTCCAGTGCCGAGGCTAAGCAGGCCAGGGCGTCGGCATGCTCGTTCTTGTCTCGAGACACTTGTTTGATCTCAATCCTTCCGAATCTGCGGATTACAATTATCGTCTGGTGATGGTAAGCCTTCATCCTAGGGTCCTTTGTCTCAAACTCTCCGTTAACTTGGTTGACTACCAGCATGGAATCGCAATGTACAATCAAGTCCGTAATTCCAGTTGCCTCAGCTAACCGAAGTCCTGAGATGAGGGCCTCATATTCAGCTTCATTATTGGATGTTTTGAATCTCAGCCGAACGGCCTGCTCCGCGACCATCCCATCTGGAGAGACTAGCAAGATACCGATTTCGGACCCCTTACTGTTCGACGAACCGTCTACACATAAAAGTCATGGTAATCCCTCATAATCCGTTGGGGACGCTATATCAGGAAGAGGTGGTCCTTCTGGAATGGGATGTTCCCTGAAAACTCTACTATGAAGTCCGCCAACACCTGACCCTTTATAGCAGTTTGAGGTTTGAAATGAATGTCGTGTTTTCCCAGCTTCACTGCCCACTTGGAAATTCTTCCGGAGAGGTATGCCTTCCTCAAAATGGCCTTTAAGGGCTGATCGGTAAGGACGGTATTTGGGTGCGCCTGAAAATAATGCCTTAATTTTCTTGCAGTTGTGACCAGAGATAGAGTCAATTTCTCTACGGGCAGGTATCTTGTCTCCGCGTCCAAGAGCGTCTTGCTTATATAATAAATTGGCTTCTGGTGGTGCTCATGCTCACGAATAAGTACCCCGCTGACTGCAAATTCTGATACGGATAAGTACAAGAAGAGCATTTCCCCTAGATAGGGTTGGGAGAGTCATGAGGTATTCCTTGATTCCAGCCAGGGTGTCTTCGCACCCCTGGCTCCACATATCTTTCACAGCCCTCTTGAAGGCTCCAAAAAAGGGTTTGCATTTATCTGAGGAGCGTGAAACGAAATGGTTAAGTGCTGCCAGCATCCCTATGAGCTTTTGGACTTCTCGAACAGTTCGGGGGCTCCGGATGTCTAGGATCGCTTGAATCTAATCTGGGTNCTTCTTGACAATCCTCGCCGAAGGTCGTCTAGGGCTAAAGGTCTTGCCTTCCTGGAATGGTCGTTAAGAGGGTGCTCGTTGGCTCTTGGTCGCTTTGGGGCCTTGGAGCTTTCTGCCTTGTTATTTAAATGATTTCTCAGATCCTTCATTTCTGCCTCCTGGGCGGGGAGTCTACGAGAAAAGAATGAGTCCCTCGACCCTTCGCCGGAGGCTGCGAATTCGTTGAGCCGGCTTAAGANTTTGGAATGTTGTCCCGACGTTCTTTAACCCAAACGACATCACTTTGTAACAGTAAGCTCCATTTGGAGTGATAAACGCCGTATTTTCCTGATCCGGGGGATGGAGAAGGATATGGTGATATCTTGCTCGGGCATCCAGGAAGTCCATGCGTTCATATCCGACAGTGGCATCCACTAGCTGGTCCACCTTTGGTAGGGGGTAGTCGTCCTTAGGACATGCCTTGTTTAGATCAATGAAGTCTACGCAGACACGCCATTTTTCCCCCTTCTTCTTCGCGCAAACCGTGTTAGACAGCCATTCTGGGAACTGTATTTCTCGAATGGCGTTGGCCTCCAAGAGTTTATCGATTTCTTCATTGACCGCGCGGGCGTGGTGAGGGGCCATGCGTCGTGGCTTCTGTTTTACTGGCTTGTGCGCCGAGTCAACATGTAGCCTGTGTATGATTATTTCGGGGTCCACTCCCGTCATTTCCATTGCGTTTCGAGCGAACATGTCTGCATTTCCCCTCAGGAACTCAATCATCTCCTCCTGTTCGACTGTGGGCATCGCGGTTCCAACTAAGAAGTATCTTTCTTCTTCTCCCTCCACCAAGGGCACCTTTCAGAGGTCCTCCACCGACAGTTTCGTTGGGTCAATCCGGGGGTCATCCATTCCTGGATGCCCGGACTGTGATTGCTATTTTTGCAAGATCTCTTCCGGAGCCCGCCCTTTTTCTTGGGTAAAAGCCCCTGCTCTAATAGCTGAATAAAAATATTTTTTTGCGGACGCTTGGTCCCCTCGGATCTCCATGATCCCCTTTGGCAAGGCGAATTTCAGTTTCTGGTGATAAGTGGAGTGCACCGTTCCCGACGCATGCAGCCATGCTTGTCCCATGATCACATTGTAGGGAGAGTTCGTATCAATCACGACAAACTCGATGTTGATGGTAAAGGGACCTGTGACAATTGGCAATGTGATTTTGCTTATGGGCATGGCGAACGAGTCGTTGAATCTGATGAGGGGTGTCCTGACCTTGGTGAGGTCCTTGTGGCCAAGACCCATCCGTTTTAAAGTGTCAGTGTACATCACTTCCGAGGAACTTCCAGAGTCTATCAACACCTTCTTGATGTCGAACTTGCCTATCTTTAGGGTTATGACAAGGGCGTCGTTATGAGGAGTCACCACGCCTGTCAAGTCCGCGTCGGAGAACGTGATGCTAGGCTCGCCAATCCTGGCCCTCTTACTGAGTGGCCCTCCATCATTCTCGGCTATCTTTCTTGTAAAAGCTACCCTCTTGAGATCGGACTCGAGTTCCTTAAACGTGGGGCAATCTAGCGGACATACATGAATCACATCTATGACGTTGTCCGGCTCCTCGATCCGGAAAGGGGTGTGTCTCTCTTCCGGCCTAGGCTCTATGTATTCTTTTAAGTATCCGTCTCAGACCAAACTTTTCAAGAAAGATTTAAATACCCTGCAGCTTTCGATGCGATGACCGAAATCCCGGTGATAGGAACACCTGACCTTTTGATAACGGGTGGAGGGATCGCTCTGCATCTTGAGCGGCCACTCGAAGAATGGCTCACGCTTGATCTTATGGAGCAACTTGTAGATGGGTTCTTTGAACATAGTNAATGGTCAACCTTACTATTTGGAAGAGGCTGAGATCCGTTGGTGGCCAGGAACGGTAATGGGTGACTTTCGTGGATCAAGGGAGCAATCCAGTAAGGTTGAGGAAGGTTCCTGTAACAGAAAAAGACAAGTTAGAAGNATGGGGTAACAGTCCCTTTCGGAAAGTATCCTCCCACTCCCTCTCTTTTCTCTTAGGTTGGAGGGTTCTACCTTTGCTGCTTCTCATCTCGNGGAAGGTTCCTGTAACAGAGAAAGACAAGTTAGAAGGGTGCCGGAGTGTTTTCCGGCGCATCCCCTCTGACGATCAAGTCAGTTTTTGAGAGAGGGGAAGAAGAAAACACTGAGTATAGGTTTGAGAAAAGGTTTTACGTTGCATCCCGTCTTGCCTTTTGTGAGGAGTATTTATACCTCAAAAATTCATGATTGCTGTCAGTGTGGTCAGTAGGTGATCATTAGATACGGGNCTGGATGGCGTACTGGCGAAGGATTTCCGATTCCCTCCGTCTGAGCGTTAGCATGATCCAACGTCTTTAGGCCGCTTACTCCCCATAATGAATCGCAGAGTCCCCCAAGCTCATGGGAAACACTCGACAGAGGAACCGTTGGTCTGAATGATACAGGGACATCATTTGTTTGTATTGCCTGAGGTGGGCTTCGNCTGCCGACTGTTTAATGAGCTCCTCTCGGCAAGGATGTAATAAATGTCCAGTCTTAAGGACATTTATTACCTTTCACTTCTGAACCTTACTGCATTAAATGTTGTCTCATCAAGGGAATGGTGTAATTAAATGCTTGTTTTCCCAAGTCGTGTGTCAGCAAGGGCATCCGGTCTTTTTGTCTCTGATGTGACACAATATGCCACGCGTCCATTCCCATTGGCTGTGTACTCTGCCTTCTGACACCAATTGTGTAAAACGAGGTCATGATGGCTAACCTAGCCTAGCCTAGGCTAGTGACCTGTACATCAATAGCCTCTGCAAAAGCAGAGAACGCCATCCTAGACGGGTACATCTCAGTACCGAGAGGGGTGGTACATGTAGGGACCGATGTACCCATATCCGACCCGAGGGATACGTGTCGGTACGTAACGTACTGGGTGTCATTGATCCCTATGAACAGTACCTCGGGAGAACAGGGACTTGTAATCCGACGGGTACGTGTCGTGATTACAGTAACAAGAATTTACTGATGCCGAGGACACGTGTCTTCATATTGAAGTACTTGAAAATGTCCCATCAACTTGGTTGTAGTTTTTTTGGATAAGAGAAAACCTATCTTATGTGGTAGTTATTGAATGTAACACGATTTTGAGCAAGTTTAGTGGAACTCTTATTTCGTTCACTTTGATTCTATTAAGTTTTGGTTGTTGTTTGCCATCTCTGCTTAACACAACGTTACACATCAACATCTTTGCAAAATTTGAGGTATAAATTAGTTGGGATGTCGAATGGTTGGATAAAATTTTTACTTGTATTATGGTGCTATTGAAAAACACATTTTGAGTAAGTTTAATGGAACTCTTATTTCATTCACTTCTATTCTATTAAGGTTTGGTTGTTGTTTGCCATCTATGTTTACCACAACATTAAACAATCAACCACTTTGCAAAATTTTGAGGTATAAATTAGTTGGGATCACTCAAATGGTTGGATAAAATTGACTAATGCAGGTGGTAAGGTGAAAATTAGACTNAAATTTTGAGGTATAAATTAGTTGGGATCACTCAAATGGTTGGATAAAATTGACTAATGCAGGTGGTAAGGTAAAAATTAGACTACAGCAGCAGAAAGGATTGAACCCTAAGGTTTTAAAGTACAAGGGTCCTGTACATTATGCTTGTAAGATCATCCGTGAAGAAGGCATCCTTGGTCTCTGGTCAGGGGCTGCCCCGACTGTTTTGCGCAATGGGATAAACCAGGCTGCCATGTTTACGGCCAAGAACTTTTTCGATGGGGTCTTGTGGGGAAAACGCGAAGGTGATGGGAAGGTACTCGAACCATGGCAGTCTTTGATATTTGGATTTCTTGCAGGAACTGTTGGGCCTTGCTGCACAAGTCCATTTGATGCTGTAAAAATGAGGCTGATGGCTCTGAGCCGATCTGTTGGTGAGTTGAAGTATAGAGGCATGTTTTATGCTATAGCAACCATATATATGGAGGAAGGGTTGCTCGCCTTGTGGAAGGGGACTGCTGCCCCGGCTAATGAGAATCCCACCTGGCCAGGCGATCATGTGGGTTGTGGCTGACCAGGTGACTGGCTTTTATGAGAGAAGATATATGCAGATTGCATCCTCATAGGTAACCTTCATATTGTTGTTTTCCTAATCTCAAATATATTTCCCTAAGTAGATATCAATTAGATTTCAGATGTGAAGTCGATTTTTTTGAGCGACTCTTCACTTCCTTTGGATCTCCTGTAACCATAGGGGGGAGTCTGACCAAAATTCTCTAAACTCTATTTTATGCCCATAGTTGTTAAATCACGTATCGGAAGTTATGTATCATAAGATACGCATAATTTTAATTTTTCAATAATTATTATATATATATATANTGTTGTTTTCCTAATCTCAAATATATTTCCCTAAGTAGATATCAATTAGATTTCAGATGTGAAGTCGATTTTTTTGAGCGACTCTTCAGTTCCTTTGGATCTCCTGTAAGCATAGGGGGGGGAGTCTGGCCAAAATTCTCCAAACTCTATTTTATGCCTATAGTTGTTAAATCGCATAATTATAATTTTTTAATAATTATTATATATATATATATATACACCATTGTAAAAAAATCATAAACTCATAATAATATTGAATTTCATTAATATTCCACCAACTATTCAAGTTTCCAATATGGTTCATTAATATCAAAATACAAAGACTTCNAATGTTGGAGGAGGTGAAGTGTAAGTTTTGTTGATCGTATCTGATGTCATAATCTGATTTTTTTTTTCTTTTTTTTCCCCACTTTATTCAAATTCTACATCTCTCTTCTATCTCCTATCTCTTTTCTTGATGTTTCGGACCATTGATGTTTGTCCTGTTTTTTTCTTTTCCCCGTGATCTTAAGCTGCAATGTTTTTTTGCTGATATTTTTGAGTTATGACATAGACAGATAATTAATTAAATCAATCAACTCAGCAATCAACTTATGCCTATTCTTAGTAGTAACACTATTTTTCACACACACTAGGACATCTATAAGNTTTAATTCAAATTTCTAACATCAATTGCTTGAACAACCTTAATATTAATCAAGAATTTTGAATTCAATTGAACAACATTAANTCTAATTCAAATTTCTAACATCAACTGCTTGAACAACCTTAATATTAATCAAGAATTTTGAATTCAATTGAACAACATTAACAACATACTTTATTTTTTTTTGTAAATCATAACCATTGAAACGACGTTGTTTCAGTAGCTAGTAATTTAAAAATAAGTCCTAGGATAAAACGATGTCATTTTAGTCCCAGANAATGTAGCAAATGTTTGAAGCAGAAATACAATCTTGCAAGGAAACAATAAAAAATCGAGAAAATGAGAATGCTGAGTTGATTGATCAATTTAATGAATTATCTGTCGATGTCATAACTCAGAAATATCAGCAAGAAAACATTACAACTCAAGATCACGGGAAAAAGAAAAAAACATGANGAAACCCAAAAAATACAAATTAAAAAAACAGAATTACCACGTATCGGACATATCGTATCGTGTGTCATACGATACGGTACAAAAATAATACAGAGACACGATACGTATCATTTTTTAGATATATCGTGACGTATCGTACGATATTAAAAATTATGTTTATGTCATACTCCAATTAAACTGCTTGGTGAAACCTTGAGAGGCGAANAGAAAAAAATAAAAAAAAATTAAATTGTGACGTTAGATACGATCAATCATAAGACCAATTTTGAGTGAAAGACAAATCTGGAAGAATAGTTGAGATTGTTGGAGATGGTGACAGCAAGGAAAAAATCACAACTATTCAAGGGCTCACAAACAAAGGGATAAAAAAAATGTGGCATGCTTGTAAAACATTGGAGACGATTGATTTCAAAAAATTAAAGACGATGTATGATAAAGAGGGTTACGAGTAAGTGTCACTGTCCAATTAAAAAAGTGTTCATTANAAAAACATGAACACTGTGGACAAACATGAACACTGCACATAAGAACACACATTTTTAACAGAAATTTATGGCTTGTATATGGTAATTCAATTTTTTTAATTTATGCAAAATTTTAAATTATGCAGAATCTATGCTATTAGTATTGTCACAATGTAAACCAAAGGCCAAGATTGTTGATATTTATGAGAAAGGTGATTCATTCATCAGTGAGTAAGCTTTGTGTATATGAGCAGTGATTTTANGTGGTGATGAGTTTGACAAACAACAATCTGCATTCTCTTTGAAAATGCAAGAAAATGATACGATGATAAAAGAGTTAAATGAAGTTGTTAAAAATATGAAAAAAAAAATGTAGCAAATGTTTGAAGCAGAAATACAAGCTTGCAAGGAAACAATAAAAAATCGAGAAAATGAGAATGCTGAGTTAATTGATCAATTTAATGAATTATCTGTCGATGTCATAACTCAGAAATATCAGCAAGAAAACATTACAACTCAAGATCACGGGAAAAAGAAAAAAACATGACAAACATCAATGGTCCGAAATATCAAGAAAAGAGATAGAGAATGGAAGAAAGATGCAGAATTCAAATACAGTGGAAAAAAAAATAAAAAAAAATTAAATTGTGACGTTAGATACGATCAATCATAAGACCAATTTTGAGTGAAAGACAAATCTGGGAGAATAGTTGAGATTGTTGGGGATGGTGACAGCAAGGAAAAAATCACAACTATTCAAGGGCTCACAAACAAAGGGATAAAAAAAATGTGGCATGATTGTAAAACATTGGAGACGATTGATTTCAAAAAATTAAAGACGATATATGATAAAGAGGGTTACGAGTAAGTGTCACTGTCCAATTAAAAAAGTGTTCATTAAAAATTATGGTTCTTACCTATTTCGATATATAATAAAATATATGACAAGTTTGCTTCCAATTTTTATGACATTGTAGTGATCAAATATAGTCTGAGTTTGGAATTGAAAATATAATATATGTGGAGGATGCGTTGAAAATAATGGCAACTTCTTGCGAACTATACAACAGTGTACGTATTTGTTAAAAATGTAACATAGAACTGTATTTTTTAGATAGAAAGTGTTGTTTGACAGTATACCATGATCTGAATAGTGGAACATAATATTTATTTTTTAAAAGATCATTGACTATTAGGCTAATATGCTAAAAGGAATTGATAATTATAATGAGATGTTCACATTTCAAAGACGTTACTATTTCATCAACAATCTTTGTTGGGTAAGATTTATAAATAGCACAATATACAAATAGTTGTTTAATTAAATTATTTATGAGTTGTTTAACACCTTATATTTTACATATTTTGAATGTGTAGTTCTTTATAACTCCTCCAAATCTCGAGTATATACGTCAAATAGAAATAAAAAGGCACATACCATACTTTGGAGATTTAAAATATGTTGTTTTCCCAATGAATTCAAATGGTCGAAATGAAAATTGTTCTCCTGACCACTGGATTCTATTGGAATTGAATACTGAATAAGGTGTCTGGACACATTACAACTCATTAAAACAAAGGACGAACGACAACCGAGATATATACCTAGAGGATGCAATCATATTGGTTTGATTATGTTAAAACAGTATTGTTAAAAGCTCATATTAGTTTGGTGTCTATCCATAATCGTAAAATTTTTTATGTAATTGTAGAAAAAATATGTTGAAAAGAAGATTATGGAGTTCAATTATTCAAAGGAGATCAACATAGACACACAAAATAAGGAGCTACCAATCATATCATGTCAGACATGTCCACAGCAAAAGTCAAACTAGTAAGTACTCGTTCTCCAAATGCAATTTTTGTTTTCAAAAAACATGGAAGTGTATTAACAATTGGAGTTAATGCAAGGTTGGTTGCGGTTTGCATGTATGTTACATAATGAAAAAAATTACAAAAAAGAAGAAGAAATTGAGGAGAGGTTAACAGCAAGACAGCTGACCGAGTTCTGAGCTAAAATGGTATCATTGTTTCTCAACCATCCAAATTCTTGAAATGAAGAAGATCTGAAAATCTTTATGGAATTAAAGAAAAAATTTGCAGACAAATGACAAAGTTTTCATTGTTCATGTACTTTACAATTGATTATTATTGTAAGATAAGACATCTATTTGTGTGACATTGTGGTGTGTGGTGATTAGTGATTATCCAAACTGTACATGAATACATGTGTTTATTCTTGTTGATTAATAGAGGCCATGTCAAAGTGTAACATAAAAAGTGTAACAGGGTAACATTGAAAGTATAACACTTTCACACTTTATCAACAAATGAACATTAATGTAAGATGAGACATGGATGTACATATTTTGTTTGTGTGATATTTGTGGTGAGTGGTGATTGGGAATTATACATATTGTGCAGGGATACAGTTGTTTATTCCTTGTTGATTAATGCAGACGATGTTAAAGTGTAACAGGGTAACATTAAAAGTGTAACACTTTCACACTTTCTCAACAAATGAAAATTAGTGTAAAATGAGACATGGATGTACATGTTCTGCTTGTGTGACATTGTGGTATGGTGATTGATGATAATTCAAACTATAAAGGGATATAGGTGTTTATTCCTTGTTGATTAATCAAGACCATGTCAAAGTGTAACAATGTAACATTCAAAGTGTAACACTTTCACCTGTATCCAATACACTGTTCCAATAGTGTGTGAATTCACTATATAAGACCAGTGTGGATTGTAGACAGACTAATCCATCAATGTATATAACTTACAATGTAAAAATTTACAAACAAATGAGTGAAAAAACACATTGTAAAAAACTTTAAACATTCAACAATGTCATTAAATGATAGTATTAAACAAGTTTACAATGACTCGTTATAAGATTTTTTGTTGTGACTGCCCAAACACCCACACCGGACACAACAAATTCGCCTAATGACTTCTCTCCTAAATCGAATTCTACGATTCTTAAGTCTATCAGGTTGCTTTTTGATAGATGTTGGCAAAATATTAACATTTACAGGCAAATTTTCATCACGATATATAGTCGGTATTGGATCAATAGGTTCAGAATATGATATCCTGTATGTGCTGACATGATAGTAATAATCAACAAATTCGTTGATATTTCGTCCACTCTTTCGTATTGCAAACACCACATATAAACGAGGGAACTCATTTATTTGTCATTGATAACATGAACACATACCATTTACAATATCAATAGTGACCAAAGGATATAACATCACTTTATACACTTGATTTTTCGAAACCCGCACAGTCTAGGGTCTCCCCTTATCAAATGCAGCTTGTAATCTCGAAGACATATTAGGGCATAAATTTTCATTTCACTCCAAAGCTATTTTCATTCTTTAACCAATTTGATCAATTATTTATCCCCTAATTGTGTCAATCATGTTAATAATAGGTAAATGTCCAACTTTCAAAATTCACACATTAAACAATTTTACAATATTAAAACACATCTCACCGTAATGTTTCCCAGTAAAATGAGCATTTGTCCAATGTTCATATGAAAGATTGGATAGGAACCTATCCACATTAGAATCACCTTCACGACAGAAAGCTTTAATTTTTTCATTAAAAAACGACTGTGTTGGTGCATAAGTACACTTACGTAACAATCTCACAATGTGTTTCGGAATAAATTGAAAAAACGAGCATCACTCAATTTATCTCGTAAGTTAACTTTCAAATGTTGCAAGAAAAGTGCACGATGAACATTTGGAAAAAATTTTGGCATTACCTCTAGCAGACCCAAATTGCAATCAGATACAAATGTAATAACCCGAGACTAATCCACTATATTAGAGAGCTGTTCTAAAAACTAAAATCAGTTTGCTTCATTCTCCGAGTCAACCACAACAAATGTCAAAGGAATCAAACCAAAAAAATAAAGCACATAAAATATTTGTAAAAAATTAAAATAAAAAATAGTGTAACAGATGAATATGGTGAATGGTAATTCCAAAACATGAATATGGTGAATGATAATTTCAAAACATTATTGTGTGGTGAATGTTAATAATTCAAATTGTTTCAAATTACACCATGTATATATACTCACTATTAACTGTGTTCATATCATAATGTAATAATGAAAGTGTAACAATATAACAAATAGAGTGTAGCAAAGACAGAATAACATAACAATTACAACTTAACCACAAATTTTATCATTCAAAAAACTGTATTAAAATATACCTTGGTTGTCATATTTTCCTGTAGCTAATAGAAGATTATATTTATACCTGTCTTTCAAAAATGTGTCATCCAAAAAAAATAGTGGACGACAAAAATTAAACTCATGAATACAACCCTTAAAGGAAACAAACAACCTTTTAAAATGATTAGTATCATATTCACAATCTAACACAATATGACTGCCCAGATTAGCATGATTTGTTGCATCAACATACCAATGTAATTGTTGGTACGATAATAAATGGTCCCCAAGAAGCATACTTTTTACTTTATCAACNTGAAATGATTAGTATCATAATTACAATTTAACACAATATGACTGCCCAGATTAGCATGATTTGTTGCATCAACATACCAATGTAATTGTTGGTACGATAATAAATGGTCCTCAAGAAGCATACTTTTTACTTTATCAACTCTTTCTCAAGCTTTATCATAAGAAATAGTGAGTTCATAATAATAATAATAAAAAAAAAAACAGCCACTTTCGTTGGATGCATTGTGTTATGCCCACAAACACGATCAACAATCAAATCTGCAATCATTTTAAACTCATTCTCTTGTTATCTGTCGTTTGCAAATCTACACCACAAATGTGTTTGTTGTCCAATTTCTTAATATAAAAAAAATCAGTAGCTTTTTTCACTGTTGCATTTACATGTCGCCCACAATCAGAAGAGTACTTAGATGAACACATAGCAGTAATCTTTGATTTACAATTTTTTACATAATTAAATTCAAAACCATACTCAATCGAGTATTTGCAAAGTGCTTGCCGAAACTGTACCACACTAACTTTCTCATTGTGACTAATAAAACTGGGTAATAAATCTACTTTACATTCAACAACATCACCAATATTCACATATTGCAATGAATCATTATCACCCGCTGACCCGCTCTCAATATCTTCTATAAACACCTTAACTTAAACATAATTTCCTGGAAAACTCCATTTCAATTTAACCAAATTCTTCAAATTCACATCGGTGTGCAACATGCAAAAGGGTGACCAGGAATAAAATATGACATGTACTGACAAATTAAGCAACTCCTCCCACATTTCGCAAACTTCACGAACAAGTTCTGATATATTTGAATTAGCATCTATTTTAAATACTTTAATAGCATTACCGTTTGTACATAATAGCAATAACGTTTCCTCCATTGCCAAAATCTCTTAAAGCTATTAAAAAAATATATACAATAAAAGTTAAATGTAAAACATATATTCCAACAAATAAATACTGAAAACATTTATTTATTAACACATTTAGTATGTTAATAGGTTAACATACTAAAAAAACGAAAAACTTCAAACCTTGTAATTGTTATTAAGTAATTGTCCAGCTATAGACTTTAGGCTTCGGGCTTCGGCTAGAAAAAATGTAAAAATTTTCATCATTTAGGTTTCATGATACATCATATTTGTCATGTGGATGAAGAACAATATTGTCTTGCATGTGGATGAAGAAGAAGCATAAATCAGCTCGAGGATTGAAGAAGAAATCGGCTTACAAGTGGATGAAGAAGAAGCAAAAATTGGCTTCAAGCTTTAAGCAGAAAGCTCGGCTTCATGCAGAAATATACCAGCGTATTTTTCTCTCTAAAAAAACTAAAAATAGTTGTGTATTCAGAATTTGAATTTTTTTGGAAAGTGTTATATTTTTCTCTTATAAAATTAAAAAATATTTAATACACAAATATAATTTGAAAATTAAACACTTTCCAAAAAAAAAATACACATTAACCAATGGAGGACAAAAATGTCACAATAAAATCAAGAAAATTCAAATAATGTATTTAGATACAAATAAGTATCAAAATTAAGGACTTAATAACTCTACATTTTTTTCTATTTACTTTTTTACAATTAAGTCTAATTTGGTGTACCCCTTTCAATTTTTCCTTTTTTATTGCAATACTTTGGGTCTATAATCCAATTCATAACATTAAAAACTTAAAAATTAAAAAAATACTTAAAAGTTAATTCAGATTTTCTCCCACCCTTTCTCTCNGTAATTGTCCAGCTATAGACTTTAGGCTTCGGGCTTCGGCTAGAAAAAATGTAAAAATTTTCATCATTTAGGTTTCATGATACATCATATTTGTCATGTGGATGAAGAACAATATTGTCTTGCATGTGGATGAAGAAGAAGCATAAATCAGCTCGAGGATTGAAGNCATGTATGTGCTGACATGATAGTAATAATCAACAAATTCGTTGATATTTCGTCCACTCTTTCGTATTGCAGACACCACATATAAATGAGGGAACTCATTTATTTGTCATTGACAACATGAACACGTACCATTTACAATATCAATAGTGACCGAAGGATATGACATCACTTTATACACTTGATTTTTCGAAACCCGCACAGTCTAGGGTCTCCCCTTATCAAATGCAGCTTGTAATCTCGAAGACATATTAGGGCATAAATTTTCATTTCACTCCAAAGCTATTTTCATTCTTTAACCAATTTGATCAATTATTTATCCCCTAATTGTGTCAATCATGTTAATAATAGNAGAATTTGAATTTTTTTGGAAAGTGTTATATTTTTCTCTTATAAAATTAAAAAATATTTAATACACAAATATAATTTGAAAATTAAACACTTTCCAAAAAAAAAATACACATTAACCAATGGAGGACAAAAATGTCACAATAAAATCAAGAAAATTCAAATAATGTATTTAGATACAAATAAGTATCAAAATTAAGGACTTAATAACTCTACATTTTTTTCTATTTACTTTTTTACAATTAAGTCTAATTTGGTGTACCCCTTTCAATTTTTCCTTTTTTATTGCAATACTTTGGGTCTATAATCCAATTCATAACATTAAAAACTTAAAAATTAAAAAAATACTTAAAAGTTAATTCAGATTTTCTCCCACCCTTTCTCTCTCTATTTGGTAAAAAAAAAAAGTTGAAATTAAACAGAATCCGCCTCCCTGTGGTAAAAAAATAAAAATAAAAATTGAAATCTCTTTCTCGACAACATTAACACATCTTTTTTTTTTTTTGTTTTTCTCTCACATAAAAAATTAAAAATAAATTTATTTTTTTTAAAAAAATAATACTAAAAATAAAAAGACATTCATTTAATATTTTTACTTTAAGCCTTAAATTAGTTTGAACTGCCCCTGAAAATAATATAGATTTGCTTGGGTGACTTTGAGTTACAAAAATATTTATCTATGTGCTAAAAAAGTTTATGCATATTTAGGCCAATTTTAAACTATCTCGTGAATTGAACTGTCTCTTTAGGCATCTAATTGATTTCCTTATTGGAGGGAAGTAGGACGGTTAACCAATTGGACTCAAATCCAAATGAGTTGAATTATATTTTATAGGATTAAATGAATCATTTTTTTTTATTTTACAATCATACCCAATATGATTCAAGTATTAAAATTAAATATATAAAAAAATGGAATAGTCATTTGGTAAATTAGTTGAAATTCAGATAATCTAAGAAGAGAACAATGAGGTTCGAATTCACGACTTAACAATTTAACGATAACAGGAAGTTGTGTGGATTATTTGGTCAATGTTAATTCTCAATAAAATTCACTGAATTATTAAACTAAATTCTGATCGAAATTTCAAATTCTGAGTTCGAATCAACGAAAATTTAATTGTATTTGGCGATTAATTGCGATAGTTCAACGGGGAATGGAAGTGGCCCCCACTTAAATAAACACAATCAAGAAGTCCAAAATCCCATTGGTCGATGTTCGTGGAGCCATTACGATCCGCCACTTGTACCTAACGGCCGAACCTTCTAGAGTGTGTCAGTCCCGCGAAATTTATTGAACTCTCCCTCGCTCTACCTTCCTGTTGCTTCTGAAACTTACAATCCTTTCTTCTCAAAAACTCCCAGATTTTCTGAGCCAACTGAACAGTAAGAATTCGCGAACCCCCCACATATCACAGTCGCGATTCTGATCCAAATATGAAGACCCATTTGGTAATTTTGTCGATCATCCTCTTCGGATCGCTTTTGCCATTCGCCATAGAATCAAAAACCCTCGACCCTTACAAGGTAACGCTACCTCTCTCTCTGTCTGTCTCTCTCTCTATGTATACAATGTATATATAATTTTAATTCCTTGATTTCTTTTCTCATTGACCGTATCATGTCATTGTTTCAATTTATTAGAGAAAAATAAGTTTTTTAAGGAGCAACTTATGCTGGTAGTATACCCAAATGTATACATGGGATAAAAATTGATAAGAATTTATCCTCGATTTTGTGAAGAGGGTTGTCTGTTGAGTGTTGCACCTAGTTTTAGTTCTTTGGGACTTGTTTTTTTTCGATGGCCAATTAGAATTTATTGGAAGTGGTTCGGAAAATTCACCTAAGGAATATACATGTCCAAATATCAGAGCAATTCGGTGACACAAATTGACTGTAGTTCGAAATTCGGCCTCCTAATAAAGACGACGCCACATTGTATGTCTTCAAGTACTCTGTGTATATCACAGTCCTTAGTTCTTGGATGGACTGAGCTGCATATGTGTGGATGGTACCCTGTTGGTTCTGGTGTTCTAAGCGTTATGGGATTTGTCGAAAACCCCTGATAGTTTTTTTTTCTGTTGCATTTTATTCGGGTATATGGGCATGGGAAATAATTTTCTATAGCATAGGCAAGGGGCCAATTATTGGTTATTTTGGATGTTTTTGTTCAGTTGATTACAATGAATTGTTTTAAATGAGAAAATGTTTTCTTATTGTAATAATTAAGTTATATGCAGAAATATATATGTATATTGAATTGGTGTTGAGAAAAAAAAATAGGAAAAAGATGTATCAAGTACTAATCTTTTAGTCTGAAAAATTATTATTGCTTTGATTCCTAAGTTTCTTACAAATTTAATGTTATTTTAGGTACTTGGGGTTGATCGGAAGGCGAGCCCGCGTGAAATTCAGAAANAAATTGATAAGAATTTATCCTCGATTTTGTGAAGAGGGTTGTCTGTTGAGTGTTGCACCTAGTTTTAGTTCTTTGGGACTTGTTTTTTTTCGATGGCCAATTAGAATTTATTGGAAGTGGTTCGGAAAATTCACCTAAGGAATATACATGTCCAAATATCAGAGCAATTCGGTGACACAAATTGACTGTAGTTCGAAATTCGGCCTCCTAATAAAGACGACGCCACATTGTATGTCTTCAAGTACTCTGTGTATATCACAGTCCTTAGTTCTTGGATGGACTGAGCTGCATATGTGTGGATGGTACCCTGTTGGTTCTGGTGTTCTAAGCGTTATGGGATTTGTCGAAAACCCCTGATAGTTTTTTTTTCTGTTGCATTTTATTCGGGTATATGGGCATGGGAAATAATTTTCTATAGCATAGGCAAGGGGCCAATTATTGGTTATTTTGGATGTTTTTGTTCAGTTGATTACAATGAATTGTTTTAAATGAGAAAATGTTTTCTTATTGTAATAATTAAGTTATATGCAGAAATATATATGTATATTGAATTGGTGTTGAGAAAAAAAAATAGGAAAAAGATGTATCAAGTACTAATCTTTTAGTCTGAAAAATTATTATTGCTTTGATTCCTAAGTTTCTTACAAATTTAATGTTATTTTAGGTACTTGGGGTTGATCGGAAGGCGAGCCCGCGTGAAATTCAGAAAGCTTTCCACAAGTATGTTCTTCATAAGACTTCCTGTTTCTTGTTTGTCAGGCTTTCTCCATATTGTACTTTGTCACATATTATTTGACTTTGTTTTTGACCTAGATGCTAGATAATGTGTGAAGTGGGCTCGGATGTTTATATTAAGAGCCTGCAATTCAAATGTTGTCACGGGCTAGTTTTACCCTAGGTTTGTTTGTCGTTGGGGTTAATCTTTAATCTTCCTTGATTGTTCTTAGGAACTCAGTAATGTGGCCAACCAGGTCAACAAGGCATGAGAAAGATAGATCTAGAATGAATGCCGTAGCCAACCTTTCATAGATTTGGAGGCGGTTGAGTTCAACCTCCTGATGTTATTGTTAGATTACATGTGTACGAAAAGTTTAAAGTAAATGTCGATATTGCAGAACTGTTTGTCTATTTATGCCAGGTTTTAGTTTAGCACTGGCTCTGAAGTTATTTGGGCAAATTCCCAATATTAATGGCTGCAGCAATGATGGTTCTGTGGCAGCATGATGATTGGTAGGGTTGTGTAGGATCTTTGCTGTAACACTAATTTAGTCTATTGGTTTGATGGAATTTCAGAGCAGAGTTCATTGTTTACTGACAAATTTTGTTCTGATTGGTTGATATGAGATTGGATTTTAGATTCAAAAGAATTGTCAAACAATTAAAAATATAAAGATTCTGAAGTTTCAAGCTGCAAATGTGAGTTGATTACATAATCTAACGAATAGTGGGTGACCCCGATATCATGCATTAGGTTTTTAACATGCACATGCTTTAATATTGATTGCATCAATTTGTTCGGGGATGATATTTTGCTTTAGGAGTCCCTAAGTTTCTTGGTGTTTATTTCTTTTTCAAAATAACTCATCTTTTCTCTAATTCGCTTTTGTAGGCTCTCTCTCCAGTATCATCCTGACAAGAACAAAAATAAGGGTGCTCAAGAGAAGTTTGCTGAGATTAATAATGGTATAGTGATAGTTCTTCTTCTTTTTTTTTTTTCTGATTTTCTGCCTTTATTTCGCTCCCCTGGTGTACTGTTTATGGGTTTTATATTTATTCTATGAAGTTGGCTTCTGAAATTTGTAATGTGCTATGCTATGCCATCAGCATCATACTCTCTTTCTTCTTCTATCAGTACTTGAAAATAAATTCTTGCATGGGCTGATTAATGATTTACACTCGAGGATATGTCTTTTATATACACGCTTTATCCATGAGTTGGAGGATTCGGCTACTTCGTATGTCATGGAAGAGTGCTAGCTGTTTGATTTTTTTGGGATGTAAAAGTTGATTTGTACTTCTGTTCACCTGTTTGCAGCATATGACATTTTATCTGACGAAGAGAAGAGGAAAAATTATGATCTGTATGGAGATGAGAAGGGCAGTCCTGGATTTGAGGCTGGCAATTCCAGAGACCATGGTGGATATTCGTACTTCACAAGTGGTGGACCGGGAGAGACTGGGTTTAGCTTCAGGCCAGATGGATGGCAAAATATGGGTGGGCAAGGCAACTCAAGATCATTCTCATTTTCTTTTGGCGGCCCTGGCAGCCAGAGTTCATTTGGTTTTGATGATATATTCTCCAATATCTTTGGGGGAAATATGAGAGGTGGGGGTCAGTCTGATGGTTTCAGTGGTTCAGCCAGGTCTCAATCTGGCTCTAGTTCTTCCCCTAAGAGCATCCGCTCTGTAAATCCACAGTTATATAAGAAAGAAATTGCTGGTAAAGGAATTACCTGGCTTTTGTTATCTTACTCACCTACAATGAAGGGAACCCAGTATTATGAATCTATCATAGAAGATGTTGCCGGGTCACTACAAGGAGTCTTAAAGGTACTAGTGTGTTTTCATATGCTTTTAACCATCAGATATGGTATAAGTTTGGCATATCGTCGACTTAATTCCTTTTCTCTTACAGGTGGGAAGCATCGATTGTGAGGCCGAATCATCTTTTTGTAAGGAGCTTGGCTTATATCCACGCGGAGCACCCAAGATATTTGTTTTTTCATATAGAGCAAGTCAAAATGGTTCCTTGGTAGAGTACGTTGGTGATTTGGATGTCAAAAAGTTGAAAACTTTCTGCCAGGACCATTTGCCAAGGTTTTCAAAACGTGTTGAATTAGGTCATTTTGATTTCTTGTCTGACACTGGGGAAACTTTACCTAGAGTCATGCTTCTTTCTACAAAGAAAGATACCCCTGTTATCTGGCGTGCTCTTAGTGGCTTGTTTCATCAACGGTGTGTCTTCTATGATGCAGAGGTAATCACCCTTTGATCATTGGCCCATTATTGTTTAACAGGTTGCTTCAAGTTTTTCCTTGGCATGGCTACGCATTCTTGATCAGATGGAATGCCGGGTTGTATCTGTTCGAAAATTGGGAGTGATCACTATTCTCGTTGGAATAGTTTTACTTTCAAGTTCATTTTCATTCTCAAATGATTTTTGAAATAGTTTTTTCTTTTTCTTTTTTTTTTGTTGGAACAGAGAATTTTCCAATGGTTCATTAACTGATTTTTCCACCTTTGTATAGGCTCATGATGTTTCTGATCCAAAGGTGAGGAGTTTAGGTGTTGATAAGCTTCCAGCTGTGGTTGGTTGGCTATCAAACGGGGAAAAGCATATTTTAAAGGCAGGAATTTCTGTGACAGATCTAAAATCTGCAATTCATGAGCTTAGTGTCTTACTTGAAAATTTTGAGAAAAAGAATAAGAAGGCAACTTCAACTCAGGGTAAAAAGATGCAGACTGAATCAGGCGACAAACAGATACCTATGCTTACAGGGTCAAATTTTGATGCTATTTGTGGAGGGAGGACCCCTGTATGTATAATTGGTGTTTTCAGGTCATCGAGAGCAAGGGACAAGCTAGAAACCATTTTATTATCGGTAAGTCTTGTGACTCTCATGATAACTTTATTCTTATAGTAATTATGAAATCAGGTACTCATGTATTTTGGAAGTGAATTCATGTACTCATGTTGACTTGGTAGGAAAATTTAAATGATTGGTGCAACAATTTACGTGCTATCAACTATACTGAATCTGTTGATTATATCAAAGTTTTTTTCAAATATAGCATTTTGCACACAAGATTTTAGATACAGTATTCAGGATTGAAATTTCTGCTGTGTTAAACCTCTGTAACTCTTTGATAAAAGTCAACTGATTTTCTTTACTCGAGTTGAAAATTATCATTGCAAATGTGCCACAATAGATTTGTGCTTAGCTAGGGTAGCCATCTTGAAATTATACTTCCGGGCAGGCATTGTAGATCAGTCATCTTACAGTACAGCAGTCAAGCAAATATTGCCAATTTGATTTCTAAGGATCAGTCATTGGGAAGAGGGTGAGCCATGGGGAAGCAATAAGGTTCCTCCATTGTGACGACAACCAGGTCCAAGTTGCGGAAAATAGGCTCTTTGCATGCGGGCGTGAGACTGCATACATTTAACCCTCTCTAGATCCCGTAATGGTGGAAGTCTCATGCACTAGGCCGTTCTTTTTTTAAGGATCAGTCATCAGTTAGAATGGCAACCTTGTGTCTCATTGTTTATTTTCTATATTTTAGTGTTGGTGGATGGTTAATGAATATACGTAGATTATAAGCTAGAGGACTTGAACAATTATGTTTTCTTTGATTGGTAGTAATGTGTTTCAAATCAAGAAATTATATAATCGTGCCTTACTAACATCACACCATACAGTTTCTGCTTTCAATAAGGTGTGGTAGCATCTTTTGTTTGCTTGATCCGGTCAATTTTCTTATGTGAATCAAANAGGAAATTATATAATCGTGCCTTACTAACATCACACCATACAGTTTCTGCTTTCAATAGGGTGTGGTAGCATCTTTTGTTTGCTTGATCCGGTCAATTTTCTTATGTGAATCAAAGCATGTGATTTGAAATGTGATATTATCAGCTTAAATTGCTAGTCTATCAATTACATTGGCAACCTATAATCGACATCTTGACACAAAAATAGATAGGTTTCTTCTTGTCAGTTTCAGAGGATATTGTTTATTATAGACTGTCCTGTTCCGGAAATGTGTGAGAACGACTGCCTTATGATTACTTCATCTGAGAAAGAACAGCGTACCTTCTGATTTATTATAGGACTTGGGGTGATTTTTCTAAATGCTGTACTATTTTAGGTCTCGCAAAAATCAATGTCAAGGCGACAGAATGCAGCCTCCAGTTCAAGAGATTCCATTTCCTATGCTCTTCTGGATGCTACCAAGCACCCATCATTTTTGAACTCCTTTGACAAATCTGGATTCAAATCATTGGACAAGCTCTTGGTGGCCTACAAACCACGGAAGGGAAAGTTCTCTGCATTTGTTGGTGAAATAACTGCAGAGGAAGTAGAGAGGTTCATCAGCTCGGTTGTCAATGGAGACGTACAGTTTACCAACACACGACAGAAGCCCACGCTTAAGTGAGTAACGGGTCTCAGTAAAATTGGACAATGTGGCTTCCCAAGTTCATGTACAGAGAAGAGATTTGGTTCTTCCTTTTGTCCCCCACTTTCATTACTTTCTACACTATAATGAAGAAGCTAGTTGGGCATCTGGGCAGGTGAGACGTACACGAATGTTTTGACATTTTTTTTCAGAGTAATCTGTACATAACCTTGAAGAAAAACACTTATTGATAGATCACTTAACAGGGGTTTTGGGGTCATTTCTTGCCCTTGCTAAAGAGGTTTCACTGGGGCTTGCAAACTTGTTTCTAACATATTTTCATATACAATGAATAGGTTCTGTACTTTTCTCTGGCTGACTAGTTAAAGTATAACTAAAAATCAACTTGGAATGATTTAATCCGATTTGAATGCCAACTTCGAATTACTTAATCCTATTTGGATGCCTCTATTTTTTGGGGGCCTTCATTCACCCAACCAGAATGTGAACCGGATTCAAACTAGTGAAAGTTAGCGATTAGTTTAATGACCACTGTCTCTATTGTTAAATTTTAAGGTTATAAATTCGANCTCTATGTTTTGGTGATTGCAATAACTAAAAAACAACTTCGAATTACTTAATCCTATTTGGATGCCTCTATTTTTTGGGGGCCTTCATTCACCCAATCAGAATGTGAACAGGATTCAAACTAGTGAAAGTTAGCGATTAGTTTAATGACCACTGTCTCTATTGTTAAATTTTAAGGTTATAAATTCGAATTTTGTCGTTCCTTCTTTGTATTAGTGTATGACCAAAAAAAAACACTACTAAAATCTATTTTGTAACCGTAGAGACCGTGTCTTAAGTTAATTTGGCAAAAGAATCTCCCCGGAAAAAAACTTAAGCCAGATCTCTATAGTTGCCCAAAAAAAAAGGTCTCTGTCGCTGCCCATGGGTCATTGTTTTACCAAGTATGGAACGNTCTGTATTAGTGTATGACCAAAAAAAACACTACTGAAATCTAATTTGTAACCGTAGAGACCGTGTCTTAAGTTAATTTGGCAAAAGAATCTCCCCGGAAAAAAACTTAAGCCAGATCTCTATAGTTGCCCAAAAAAAAAGGTCTCTATCGCTGCCCATGGGTCATTGTTTTACCAAGTATGGAACGAATCCTTTGCTTTATGGAAAAAAAAGCTTTCTTAGGGGGTCTTGGTTGGCCCCTATTTTCAATCCTTTCAACCGGTGCAATCCTGACCAGCAACTTGTTGGCATTAGCTGGCGAACCTGCCTGAGCNTGTCGCTGCCCATGGGTCATTGTTTTACCAAGTATGGAACGAATCCTTTGCTTTATGGAAAAATAAGCTTTCTTAGGGGGTCTTGGTTGGCCCCTATTTTCAATCCTTTCAACCGGTGCAATCCTGACCAGCAACTTGTTGGCATTAGCTGGCGAACCTGCCTGAGCCTTAGTTACTTGGTACCTCTTTTTTTTATATCAACAGTCAGGGCTACGTGGGTTAATTTAATAGCTGAAAACTGTTTGAATAATTAATTTTTTTTAATTTAACAGTCAGATATGTCCGAGTCAGTTTATATAACTAATCTTCTCCTTAGTCTGGTTAAAAGTAAATCATCCACATTCAAACTAAAGTATTCGTATGAGATAAATTTTTTATAGCGTAATTTCAAAGAATTGTCAATATTCAAATTCAGGACATTTAAATTTATATCTCGTTTTTATTACTATTTAAGCTACCTGGTTTTTGGTATCTCTTCTATATATATATATAATGACACTTGTAAAAATTATTTGATTTTGTTGTTTTATTTTAATTTATCACTTGTACAATCTACTCTCAAGGATAAATCAATAAATGATCAAAAATCAAAATTATTTGGAGGTATAGTACACCCAAAAGAAAAAAAAAATTCTTACCATATTTCTATCCTTTTGAAGTTAATGTCATTGGAAGTTGGTCTCTTAGGCTTATTAAGTTCAAGCGTGTCCCTATCACCAAGCGAAATTTTAGTTTTGGTTTTTTTGATGAATCAGAAGGACAAAGTGAGAGCAAACAATAATGGTATACTAACTAAATTATTGTTTAAATTTTGTATCTCAAATCAATGCAAGTGGTTAGATTAATGGGTCTACAACAATATGCAGCAGGGCGTTATCCCAGAGCAAGAAGCAAAAGACTTTGCGAGATAGGAAAAAAATAATTAAGTGTTGTATTAAAAGGTTAATATCAAACGAAGAAAAAGTTATAAAGATTTTGAGTTTTTTTAGGAGAAAATTTAAATCAATCCTATTAAATCATAATTTGAAATTGTTGAATGGTTAAAACAATCCCTTCAATATATATATATCGATCAGCACAATTAGAAATTTGAAATTAATTATCCAACTATTGTTGAGTAGAAATTTATTTAACAAACTAGTGTCATTTTCAAAAATATATATATTTTAAAAACACAATTTTCAAAGTATTTCAATGAATGACAAAAACGTGTTTTCAAATTACATTAGTTTTTGAAAACAACACCAATTTAAGAACTAAATTTAAAAAAAAAACCTTGAATTATTCGCTCTAGAAAGTTGTAGATATTTGAAGGGTAGATTTTATTTTGCACCCTAAAAGATTTTAAGATTTTTATTTTATACTCTCAAAGATGAATTTTTTTTATATTACATATTCAATGTATAAAAAATGTTATAATATGATCATTTTATAAATTTTTCGTTAATTTTTTTTGTTAATGTCAATGGGTTGATTTTTGACGAAAAAAATAATGAAAATTAACAAAAATATCACATTATAATATTTTTGATACATTGAGAATATAATATAAAAAAAATAATTTTTAAAAATATAGAATAAAATATTTAAAAAAATTTAGGATACAAATTGCAAAAGACTCCTTTTTGAAAGTGACAAGAGAAGGCCATTGTTACCAAAATGTCAAAATAGTATTGAGAAGATGAAAACAGAGCACACCTCGTATCAAATCCAGAAGTCTCCTCCGCATAGAACAAGTTTAGTTTTCCCCCTACATTTTTTTTTTTTTAATATCAGGATTGTCCAGATTAATTTCATTCCCAATATTGTCAAAAATAAGAGATTCACGATGAATAAATCATTTATGTCGTGATCCCAATTAATTATCAAAATTTAAACTCAAAATATCTAAATTTACGATTCGTCACTGTTATCACTTGAGCTAGTCCGAGAATTTCCTCCACATGAATTCCTTGAACTTGTTCATACCGAGTTTTTAGTTCAATGAATTTGTCCATACTGGCTTTTGAATTCCTTAAGCTTTAATGCACCTCCCTTCAAGTGGTAACAAAGCCAGAAACCACTTTTTCTGTGTAGTAGGTTGTTTGTCCTTTTCCAAACCTTGGCAAATGGAAAAATAAATAAAACACTAATGGTACATGGGCAGTCTCACCTAACATCTTCGTATAATAATGTGGGACATGGAAAACCGGAAAGGACCCAAACCGTGATGTAGGTGAAGAGCAATAAATATTTCCCTTTCGAGGTGTCCTCTCTGGTCCTGCATTAACTCATGCACGGCAAGCAATCTCCTCATTAAGTTGAGCTTGACGATTTTACTTGCCATAATTAGTCTTACATATTTTGGAATTTGGATAAAATAACGTGGTACACCATCAAATTTTTTGTATATTATTGGTATAATTATATTGTGGTACTAAATTATGTAATTTTTTTATTTATAGAAGAGTAATTCTATTTAAACTTAAAAAATTGATCTAATTTGTTGATATAATGATGTGATTTTAGTGAACCCATTAGATTAATATCAAGTTCTAATGTTTGATAGAGTTCATAGTCAATCTAAATGTCATCGTGAATTAGGTCAAGATGTCAATGAATTAAGTTTCAATAATATTTGTTTTTTATGTAAACAATTAAATAACAAATTAGGTTAATACCATAATTTTGTGTAATTATTTAGTGTCATTGTTTGATTTATTAGAATATATGAGTAACTGTTTAAATCATTTTAACAGCAATCGTAAATAATTAGTGTAATTATGTTGTTATAACGTTGATATAATAAGAGCATAAGAGAGAGAGAGTAACGGTGATAGACAATAGAAACAGAAAGAGGGAGAGAAAGAGAGAAAATAGAGAGCGAGAGATGAAAAAAAATAAACAAAATTTTTACATATTTGAAAAGAAAATAAATTATCAACGAGAAAGAGAAAAAAAATAAGAGAGATAGAGAGTAATAGTGTAAGGAATAGAGGAGAGAGAGAGAGAGTTGAGAAATAAGAATTACGTATAGTTTAAAGAACTGTAAGTATGTAAAATAAAAAAAAATATTTGAATTTTGTACCTAATTTAAGATGTTTTATTAAAATTAAATTTAAAAGAATAAATAATTTATTCAAACACTTCCTCTCAAATAAGTATATAAAATTATATTCGCACCAAAAAAAAACCCATAAATCATATAAATTAAAAGCAATAAAAATTTTCCTTTACGAGGTGTCCTCTCTGTGTAATAAATCATGTACGGCACTCGGTCTCGTCATTAAGTTGAGTTTGACGATTTTACTTGCCAAAATTATTCTTACATAGTGGTACAGATATAAGTGTCAAATATTCAATGCGGGGAAACTCTCTGGCACCGTCTTTACTATAAAATTATACGATTACGGGTTTATAATCGATCACAGATACGCATGATTGATCATGAACTTTCCTGAACAGTTATAACTTATTCTTTTTGAATTGTACCTTTACACTTCATAAAAATTATAATTTAATTTGAAATTATTATAACTTTGGATGCGAGATCTCTTTGGTACCAAGCCTTTCCCTTCAATGGGAATTAATTAATGAGAGAAGAAGTGACATAGATTTGGTGTAAGTTTACTTTGCCCGACAGTAAAATTAAAACACCTGCGTTGGGGTGACAGAGAAACAAAAAATTAAAAACACATAGCTGCACCGGAAAAACCGAAACCACAGAAAAACCCATGGAGCCAAACTAAAATCTATTTTCAAAATAACAAAAAAAAAAAAAAAAAAACAAGATACAGAAGAGATTGAACAACTATTATTTTTTTTTAGGAACAAATTTAATTCGACTAGTATAGCAATAATTTGATTGGTAGACAAAGCTTGTTCCGATGTACCTATGGTTGTAACGTCGATCTCCCCTCTGTTTTCGTTCTCCTGATCATCTGATAATTCCCCCAGACACATTCTTCAAAGTAAATCGCCTGGCTCTCATTCAGAAGGTACTACCCTATTGTTAGTTCCTCTGATTCTGTACTAATGGTGACGATGACTTTTCCCTCTTTAATAGTAATACTGGTGTTGAAAGGGTTGTTGGTGGGTCCACTACC